TCACACACACACACACACACACACACACACACACACACCCCCCTCTCTCTCTCTCTCTCTCTCTCTCACACACACACACACACACACACACACACACACACACCCCCCTCTCTCTCTCTCTCTCTCTCTCTCACACACACACACACACACACCTCTGGTTGCCAGATAGATTATAGGTTTTCTGTAAGTAATCTCTTTAGTGCTCCAGCAGCAGTGGCCACAGCCTGCAGACTGTGTTTCTGTCAGTCTGGGCCTTTTCAGCACCTGAACACAGACAGGAGACTGTTTTGTTGCCCCACAGCAATAAATTAGTCTGTAGGTTAAAGGAGCCTCTGGACTTTAGTTCAGTTTTTTTCAGCACAAATATTAAAGTTTCTGTTTTTCTGTGAGTAAATTTGTATTTTTAGGCAACAGGAATTATTTTTTTAGGCTCTGTGTATGTTTCACGGTAATTTGGGAGAATAGCAAGTTTTCTTATGTCAAGAAAGTGTTCCCTCAGAGACAATTAATGAACGGACATATTTTCATCAAGTGCTGTGTGAGAAAAAGGGTCTTTTAGTGTTACTTTTGTGACCATCTCTCTAAATGAGGTCATTTTCTGAAGTTTTATTTTTTGTTTACAGTTTTTTTCTCAGTTGCTAAAACCTTAAACCCTGTTGTCCGAACCAAATGCTCAGTCCCCTAAACCCATTTATTGAAATAAACACYGTTTTGACAGAATTTTAAGCACTTTTCACCTTGTTAGACAAAACTTGAAAACCTATTTTCACCCACTAAAACACATTCTGCACTGTGATTCACTTGAGTTCCACAATGGTGAGCACAGGTAACAAAAGTGAGACACTGTGGGAGATTAAAGCATTACTGTCTCAACATAAACACAGCAACTCAAAATTGATCATCACACATGTGGCTGATGATGTGAACAAACTAATATAAGCCAGTACATGAGCCTTGGTTGTTGAAGCTTCACYATGGATAGAGACAAACACAGAGAGTAAAAGATTGTATGCACTTTTGTATACACAGGGGTCAGACAATGAAACTGAAAGACCTGTCATTTTAGTGTGGGAGGTTTCATGGCTAAATTGGACCAG